CCCAAAAAGCAGCTCAAGCCCAGCCTTCGCCACCGGTGGCAACGGCCTCTGCAAAGAGGCCGCGGAAGCTGCAGCCGCCCAAAACCGCGGCTGTAGTGGTGACCGTGTCCCCGGAGGCGGCTGACGGCGGGTTGTCCTACGCGGCCGTTTTTAAAAAGGCCCGGGACAGCCTCGCCAACGACTTTGGGACGGTGGGGGTCAGGATGCGCCTCGCCCAAACGGGAGCTCGAGTTCTCGAGTTCCCAGGGACTGAAGGCGCCAAGACGGCGGACACTTTCGCTGAGAGGCTGCGGGGTTTATTCGCGACCACAGATGGTGTCAAGATCGCCAGGCCTACCAAGTGCGCGGAGCTGCGCATCTCGGGCCTGGACGACTCTGTGACGGCCGAAGATGTCCGCGCTGTAATCCGGGAGAAGACGGGGTGCAGCGCGGACAACGTCAGGGTCGGCACCATCCGCCCCGGTCCAGGGGGGCTTGGCGCCTTGTGGGTCAGCTGTCCCGTAGCGTCGGCAAAAGTATTGGCCGACGCCGGCAGGCTGCTCATCGGTTTCGTGAGCGCTAGGATCACAGTCCTGGCGGCGAGACCGATGAGGTGTTACAAATGCCTAGCATCGGGGCACACGCGCGTCAAGTGCCAAAGCTGCTTCGACTGCAGCGGACTATGTTTCCGCTGTGGTCGACCGGGGCATGTGGCGGTGGAATGCTCTGCCGCCCCTCACTGCCCGGTGTGTGCGGCGGGTAACAAGCCCGCCAATCACCAGATGGGGCAGGGGGGCTTCAAGCCTCCCCGCAACTCTCAGCAAGCATCGGGGGCTAGCCAGTCGACCCAGGCTGCCTCCGATGTAGTTCGTGCGTCGACGTCGTCGCCCATGGAGGAGGCTGTAGAGACGATCCAGTAATGGATCGGGTCTCCAGCCTCCTGGTCCAGACGAACCTGAACCACTGTGCCGCGGCGCAGGATCTCTTCCTGCAAACCATGGCACAGTGGTCAATAGGTGTTGCCGTAGTCGCGGAGCCCTATTCTGTCCCCAAACTGGATGGGTGACTGGGACGGCTCCGTGGCAGTCGTCGGTTCCACGACGGCTCATTCCCCGCCCTTGTCGCTAAGAGACAAGGGCACTGGATATGTTGCCGTCGAGTGGGGGGGGATCACCATATATGGTGTTTATTTCTCCCCCAACCGGAGTTTGAACGACTTCGAGGTTTTCCTAACCAGCTTGGAGACCTCGATACGGCGACTAGCGTCTGGGCACGTCCTTGTGCTGGGGGACTTCAACGCAAAGTCCATTGCGTGGGGTTCCCCCAGGACGGACGCAAGGGGCGAGGCCGTAGAGGAGTGGGCGGCCTCGGTGGGCCTCTGTCTTCTCAACGTGTTGGTGGAACACGTGCGTGCGACAGCAGGGGGCGTCGATAGTGGACCTCTCGTTCGCTACCCCTGCCCTCGCCGCACGAGTAAGGAACTGGCGTGTCCTGGAAGAGGTTGAGACGCTCTCGGATCACCTGTATATCCGATTTGAGCTCTCCCGGACCCAGGACTCCAGTGACCCCTTCACGTGGCGCGGCGTTTATCCCGCTTTCCGCGGTGGGCTGTTGCCAGACTGAACCGGGACCTACTAGAGGAGGCAGCCATAATTCACTCGTGGCTGTCTCCTCAGGCTCCGACCGAGGAGGTCGACGTGGGGGCTGGTCGCTTTCGCGATGCGATTACGCATATCTGCGATGCGGCCATGCCCCGCATTCGAGGTCGTCGGCCTCCAAGGAAGGAGGTCTATTGGTGGTCCCAGGAGCTGGCGGACCTCCGTGTGGCCTGTACACGTGCCCGGAGGTCCTACACGCGCAGTCGGCGGCGTCACCGTGGAGACGGTGAGGAGGACCGGCTTCATGAGGAGTACCGACAGGCGCGGAAAACTCTGAAGCTGGCCATTAGCCGCGCCAAAGAAGAAAAGAGACAGGAGATGCTGGAGGGTCTTAATCGTGACCCCTGGGGTCGCCCTTACCGCGCGGTGCGACAAAAGCTCCGCGCGTCGGGCCCCCCCCTTACGGAGACTCTCCAGCCCAGCTTCCTGCGAGAAGTGGTTGAGGGCCTTTTCCCACAACGAGCGGAACACACTCCCCCCGGCGATGGCCTCCTTGGCCGGAGACGACGGGGAGCACGGGGAGGATAATGTTCCGCCCGTCCGGGATTCGGAGGTAGGGGCGGCTGTTCTACGGATCCGTTCCAAGAACACCGCCCCTGGGCCAGACGGGGTACCGGCCCGAGTGCTGGCCCTGGCCCTCAACCACATGGCAGACCGCCTCGGGGAGGTGTTCGACGCTAGCTTGGCGTCGGGACGCTTCCCTGAGTGCTGGAAGAGCGGGAAGCTGGTCCTATTGAGGAAGCCGGGACGGCCTGCCGATTCGGTCGCGGCCTATAGGCCCATCGTGCTGCTGGACGAGGCGGGCAAATTGTTTGAGAGGTTTCTTTCTGCCCGCATCGTCCGGCACCTCTGCGAGGTGGGCCCCGATCTGTCGGACGCCCAATTTGGTTTTCGGGCGGGGCGTTCGACGGTCGACGCCGTGTTGCGCCTGAGGGCCGTGACCGAAGAGGCCGTGAGCTGTGGCGGCGTGCTGTTGGCGGTGTCATTAGACATCGCCAACGCATTCAATAGTCTGCCATTCAGCTGCATCAGGGAAGCACTCCACTATCATGGGGTGCCAAAGTACCTGAGGCGGCTAGTGGCAGACTATTTAGAGGAGCGTACCGTCGTGTACGAGGACCGAGAAGGTAATCTGAGGTGTCGGCCCATGTCGTGCGGTGTTCCACAGGGGTCTGTTCTTGGACCCCTCTTGTGGAACATAGGGTACGACTGGGCCCTTCGCGCCGATTTCCCCCCCGGGCTGGGTGTAATCTGTTACGCAGACGATACCCTGGTGACAGCCCGGGGGGCAAACTTCCAAGAGGCGGCGCGCCTGGCCACAGGGGGAGTCTCCCTGGTGGTCGGGCGCATTGAGGCGCTGGGCTTACGGGTGGCCCTAGATAAGACGGAGGCCCTGTTATTTCATGGGCCCCGTCGTGGTCCACCCCCTGGCGCCTCAATCGTGGTCAACTCGGTCCTCGTACCGGTTCGGGCCCAGATGAAATATCTGGGCCTGATCCTCGACGGGAGGTGGCTCTTCGACGAGCACTTCCGACAGCTTGCTCCAAAGCTGGTCGGCGCTGCGTCTGCCCTAGGGCGACTTTTGCCCAATATGGGTGAACCCAGCGTCGCGACAAGACGGCTGTACACGGGGGTTGTCCGGTCAATGGCACTGTACGGTGCACCGGTGTGGGCGGCGGCTCTGACCGCCCAGAGTAGGGTACGCCTCTGGCGCCCTCAGAGGGTAATGGCGGTCAGAGCCATACGCGGTTACCGCACCGTTTCGACGGAGGTGGCATGCGCGTTGGCCGGAACTCCCCCGTGGGATTTGGAGGCGGAAGTGCTCGCCGAAGTTTATCGGCGAGTGGCTGACTCCCGGGCGGAGAGCGGATTTCGCCCTCCGCCCGAGGATGTGCGCGAGTGGCGCGAAGCCGCTCGCCGAGCCACGATGGCTCGTTGGTCGTTCCGGCTGAAGACTCCACGCGCTGGCTTCGCCGCCGTGGAGGCTCTCCAGCCGGTCATCGCCGAGTGGGCAGGGCGGCAGCACGGGACCCTTTCCTTCCGGCTGACGCAGGTGCTTTCCGGGCACGGTTGCTTCGGAAAGTACCTGCACTCGGTCGCTAGGAGGGAACTGAGTCCCGCCTGCCACCACTGCGACTGCAGTGAGGACTCGGCCCAGCACACGCTGGCGGTCTGCCCCGCATGGGCGACGCAGCGCCGGGCCCTCACTGCAGTCATCGGAGTGGATCTCTCGCTACCGGCCGTAGTACGCTCCATGGCCGGTAGCGACAGTTGTTTTACCGCGGTCGCAACTTTATATTAGCTTCACTTGTATGTTTGTTTGTATGTTTGTAACCGACTCCTTTGGGCATGATTTTGACTGACTTTAAACGGTCAGAATTCGTTCAAACTTTGTAGATATATCGAGGACCGATGACAATACACTAATTTAAAAAAAAAATGGTTTGAAAAAAGACGTAACAAAATAGATGTTATCATGAGTAGTTTGAGTATGAAATAGTGATGATTGTAAAGATAAAATAGTTTCGTAACTCACTGAAAGAAATAAACAAAAAAAAAAATATAGTTTTAAAAAACTAAAAAACAAGCTTTCTATAGAAAACCAAACTAAAAATAGAAAATAAATTTGAAGAAAAGCGTGGGGTGCAACAGGCACCGAATGCTTTTTTTCAAATTTATTCAGGGTACAATCATCACTATTTCATACTCATGATAACATCTATTTATTCCATCTAAAGATTAATTGTGAGAAATGACTTTTAGCTATAAGACCGTTCTTAGTCTATTTTACCTTATACGGTTCTTGTAAAAACCTTTTTTAATGATTTTTTTTCGTTATGTTAGAGGGGCAGACGAGCAGGATCACCTGATGGAAAGTGACCATGGCCGCCCATGAACGTCTGCAACTCAGGAGTCACAAACGCGTTGCCGGCCTTTTTAGGAAGGAGTACGCTCTTTTCTTGAAGGTTTAAAGGTCGTATCGGTCCGGAAACACCGCAGACGATAACCCGTTCCACAGATTGGTACATGTACAATAAAGTTTATTTCTATTTTTTATATTGTTGTGTCAAAATGTTATTATAACAGCTATATACATTATATACAGCTACACTTTACTTAAGAATATTTAAATAAGAAAATACCAATTACTTTTTGGGGATGCTGAATGAAGATCCTCATGCCGCTAACAATCCATACTTAAATTATAAATTAGAAAGTAAGTTTATTTGTTGCGCTTTTACGCCTAAACCACTAAACTGATTTAAAAAATTCTTGAACCAGTTGAAACTACATTACCAGCGAGCGGAATTAGAGACTGAGGGTATCGTAACATTATTTAGAATATCTAATTTTGAAGCTTACCTTCCTAAATGCAACCCTGAAGTTTTCTGACAGGAAGGCGTAAAGCACAGGGTTGACGCAGCTGTTCATGTACGCGAGGACATGAGACACGATCTGCGCCGTCACTGTGAAGTAATTGATGCTGTAAGCGTCGTATGCTTTTACCAGAAGGATTATCTGTAACAAAATGAAAAAATAATTATTGACATTATTGTGTTAGTACCTTATTATCCAGAAATCAATTATCAGAATCTAAAAGATTAACGCATCTATGTACACATTTTCGTACTTAAATTTGATTGGGATTTTAATGAGGCTTTTAGAAAGAGTAAATAGAAAGGTAAGGAAAGTGAAAGTAATGGCTGTTTGGCCAGCGTGGTATAGTAGGCCAAAACCTCCTTCTAAAGAGAGGGGTATGTCCAGCAGTGGACTAGTAAAGGCTGTTGATGATGAAAAAAATTCTGATGTCAAATCACCACAATAATTTATTTGAGTTTAGAGCTAGTAAACAGAAACAGAAAAAGAGGGAACCAGGAAACCGATCATATACGAATGCTTATGTTAAAATGTAGAACTTGGCTTTAGCGTTATTAAGTTTATTTTGCCTTGTCGACAAAATGAATGTATATGTATAGGAACTTATATATTTATTTGAGCTTAGTAAAAAGAGCATTGGGGGAGCAAAGTGTGGACATATGAAGCGAAGAGTTCATAAGTTAAAAAAAACATAGACATGTTAATCTTGAAAACAAATCGTCATCATCATCAACAGCCTTTAATAGTTCTCTACTGGACATAGGCATCTCCTTAGAGAGGAAGTTTTGGCCTACTATACCACGCTAGCCAGACGAGTTGATGTAGGGTTTGTTTCAAGTTTTCCTTCTCTTTGCAGTGCTGTCATCCTGCAGAGTTTGCTCCCTTATTCGGCTCTTACGACATCCACGGGTTGAATAGGGGTAGTGATACTCCGTATTCTTATTCCGTCACCACACGGATAGAAAACAAAAATGTCACCAAAATAATCACTGAAGTCTTTTCTATTAGGAATTATTGACGGGCCTGTTGGTCGAGTGGTTAGTGCCCCTGACTGCTAAGCCGGAAGTCGTGGGTTCGATTCCCACCCAGGACAATTATTGTGTGATGAGCATGATCATTTGTTCTGTGTCTGGGTGTAATTTATCTATAATATTTATGTATTTAAAAATACATAAGTATGTTTATCAGCAGTCTGGTCACCATAGCACAGGCTCTGCCTAGTTTGGGATCAGACGGCCGTGTGTGAAATGTGTGAGGTATATTATATTATTATATTATATTATTTACTTTCATGAATATTGATAACTTTTTGTAGTATGTTGCTAATTTGACGACTTCCACATGCAACAAAAACATGCTAAAATACGATCAAACGAAGACACACCCAACTACGTTATACCTACTAATCTTGACTTGACTGCACAGTAATTTAAGCGGTCACCTCACCGCTTGTGTCCCCACATTTGACAACACTTTGTGCGATTCACAAATTGTTGTTCTGAGTCTGGGTGTTCTTTGTGTCCGTTTCGTGTATGTTTGTTAAGTCCAAGTGATATATTCCTATTACGGGAGTTGTCTTTAAAAAATAGTATAAAGACTATCGTGTTTATATGTAACATAATATTGATGTAAAAGTTACTAGTTTATTACTACTCCACGTTTAAATATTTCTCTTTTAAAAAAAACAACTCCCGCATTAGGAGTATATCCTGTGTCGCGGGAGACTTTACAGACATACATGAAACGGACACAAACAACACCCAGACTCAGAACAACAATTTGTGGATCACACAAAGTGTCGTCCCATGTGGGGTTTGCACCCACTCGGTGTAGTAGTGAGCGGTGTGGCGACCGCTTAAACCACTACGCCATCCGTGCAGTCTACAATATATAAATACATCGATCGAACGAATTTCATGGAACTTCTTCCAGTTTTTCACCGTGACTTCCACCATCTCGCACTGTACTCACTGTTTCTAGATCTACCGCTGCTTACTTATCTCTGTAATTATCTTTTTTGTAATATGAACCCACAACACTCAGTGTAGTAGGAAGCGGCGAAACCTATACGCCATCCGTGCAGTCGAAAGTTGATTCGATTTGAGTTATTACAATATCTGCATGATCATTAATGAGATGTGTGATGCTATTACGGATACAGAGAACAAACCTTCTTGCTCATCACACAATTATTAGTCCTGGGTGGGAATCGAACCCACCGTAAAAAAAGGTATTATGTAATAAAGTTAACGGCCTTGTTAGTGTACTCTGTAGTCTCCATATCAATAACTAATTCTCTCTGTACCTGAGAATAGCATTCAGTAATAAAAACATGTTCATCAGAAGTCTAGTGGCAATAGTTAATTTTGCCTAATTGGTATAAGACGGCCATGTTTAATGTTTGTTAAAGAGAAAAAAATAAACCGAATATAGTTAATAAATGCTTCATCAATTCTGAGTAATGTAATACAAATTACAATTGACATTAAGATCAGGTAACATAAGACTTACATGTCACTTGAGCTCTTTGATAAAAGATTAACATCGTATGGATCAGGATCAAATAATCTTTATTACCTCTACTGTATTGTATGATATTATTGAAGGTACGAACCATTTTTATATTAATGACATTACAGACTACACGAGATAATAATCAGATTAATCTATCTAAGTCTCCTCTTAATTATATTTCTATTGATCTATTATTCAGAGCCGCAAACGTAACTAAAATCTACATCTTACGAGTATATATAAAATTCTCGTGTCACAATGTTAGTTACCATACTCCTCCGAAACGGCTGGACCGATTTTTATGAAATTTTGTGTGCAGATCGGGCAGGTCTGAGAATCGGCCAACACCAATTTTTATACCCCTAAATATATTTTTTTTCAATATTTCCTAGAAATAATGTATATGGCAAAACAACGTTTGCCGGGTCAGCTAGTTATTCTACAAAATTGGATAAAGATTTTCGGGTGCCGTTACAAAAAAGGTATTAGGATTATTTTATTGCTCGTTTGTATGCTAGTCTGTTTATCCATCCTCAAGTCTATCTATCAATTTTGATGTCCGTCCATCTATATGTGTCGTAGGTAATAAACTAAAATCTCTGTGTATATAAAATTGAAATGACATTCAGTCTTGTTTGGTGACTGTTGAAAAACTAAAAGTAGTATCAAGTGATGTCTGATAACTATAAAGGAGAGACGAAGGCAAAAACTTTATCTTGTGTATTGTGCAATTATTTGCGTCTTCTGCTAATTACGGGTTTCAGATATAATCTCGAAACGAAGCCTGCTTTGCAACCATCGCCTTGAGGGTTAACAGTTGCTATAAATCAGTTACTATTATATACTGTTCCTTTATAATTTACGTAAATAGGATGACAATGGTGTTTATTTTATTTAGGTCCGTCACAGCTGACAGTAGGTACATGTGGAAATTTTACCGAGTTTTATGCTAATTAGTCCGTGTAGTGACGGATTAAGAATACGGAATGTCACTACCCCAATTCATCCCGTGGGTGTCGTAAGAGCCGACTAAGGGCGCAAAACAACGCAGGGCACCAGCACAGCAAAAGAAGGAAAACTTAACACAAACCCTGTACCAACCCGTCTGGCCAGCGTGGTATAGTAGGCCAAAACCTCCTTTCTAAGGGGAGGCCTATGGCCAGCAGTGGACTAGTAAAGGCGGTTGATGATGTGATTACGAAGTACACAATACATCAGGTATTAGAAGAACAAACAAAAGTGAACCTGCATTCATGGCTATTTATATTTATGTGTCATGATTATAGTTACTTAATAAGAAACTTACTAAGCATTTCCTGAAATGTTGACAGTAAGTTTCTCTCCACATTTCGTTACTCAAATCCCCTTCCACAGTTACAATCATCATGCATGATTGTAACTGTGGAAGGCAATCTGTGATCACTGTAGTAATAAGTTAATACTAAATGCTCTCGGGCTCAAGAAAGATCAGAATGGAAAAGGTTGGAGGAGGCCTTTGCCGATTGTCCGCGTGTGCCGGACGTTGCCTAAACAGAGAATGTACCTGAAGGTGGTGCTCGCGCCGTTGCGGGCAGGCGCTAGGAGGGGTCCGGATGTCTTAATAACAGCTGTTCCCGGATCCCTCCTATTACAGGCGCAGAGTGGCACACCGTGTGGTTTTAGTCGGTCCGAGTCCGACACACCACCCCGCCGCAAATCCCGGTGGGGTGACGGTCCGAGGGGATTTCCACACGTAAAAAAAAAAAATAAGGTCTTTGCCGATTTGCAAACAGATCTACAAAAAATAAATAAGATACAAATACTGGAATAAGTTTTTTTAAGTCTTATGTTTGTTTTAGACTTGTTATTAGGCTAAGTTGATTTGAATGAAGGCTATTATTATTTTTATTATTAAATGCTCTCTTCCACTTTGTGCTCTAATAGTGATATTTGTAATTTCATAAGACAAATAGTCAAACAACGTCAAATTAAGATGCGGGTAATAATGTTTAATAATATCTAAGGTAACAGAGCTACTGTGTGCTCATGGGTTAATTTTGAAATAATTTTGATTTTGATATTCATTCTACTAGTATTCAGAGCTTGGATTTAGTCTTTTCGATTAAAAAAAAACTATTTTTTTTAATTTATTGGTTTTATGTCACTGATATATCAGTGTCTGAATGCTTATCCGATAGTTACCAATTCTTAAATAGATTCAAATTAATTCTACCTTTCTAAAAATATACCCAAATTGGGTCTGGAATTAAGCAAATTTTAGTAAAAATCAGTGAGTTGAGAAATTCGCTATAAAAAAATTATACGCAAAAAGAGCTATTAGAAGCCATTACGTATAACAAAAGTAACATTCCATTGACTTTTAATAGCCACTTAATGAAACAAAAGGCGGTAATACGTTTTAGAGAGACTCCCTAAAAATATAAGGGTTAAAACTTTTTTGTGTACCAAGAAACGCCATTACCGTTTTTATGCGATTTTTATCTAGAGACAATTGTCTCTGGATTCTAGTTCTTATTATGAACATTACTTACTAAAGTGAAACGGTAATCGAAGGATCTTTTGTAAAGAATTTGTTTAAAGGAACTTACTGTGCGTAATAAAGTTAATGTCCGAATAAAAGTCTCGCT